AGTTGCCAGTGTTTAAGAGTGAAAAAAACAATGTGGTTTCCATTTTGGAACTGGAACCGGTCAAGAGCAGAGCGCTCTTTGGCATAGCTGTGTGTGTGTGTGTGTGTGCGTGTGTGTGCGTTGGGCCACCTCTGTTACGCCTTAAACTGGGCAACTGGCAACTGGGTAGCTGTGTGCAGTTGACGTGACCAAAAGAAATGCCTTGCGCCTCAAAATGTATCTCATGGATACCAAAATATGAGAGGAGCAAAAAGCGAGGCGCGCGCGTGTGCAGTTGCGCCCGTTGGCTGCGCCGAGCTGCCCGAGCTGCCCCGAGCTGCCCCGAGCTGCCCCGAACTGCCCCGAACTGCCACCGACTGCTGACTGAACGAGCGATACATACGGTAGCCAAGCGCGTAATAAACCCTTTAAATTGTTTTTAATTAAGTCCCGCAACGCAGCTCAACAGGTGAACAAGCAAAAGTATCTAAAAAAAAAAGATGCTTGGCCTGTGTGTGTGTGCGTGTGAGTGCGTGATTTATAATTTTTATCTTAATAAATTCACAAATTTGTTGTTTAATTAGGCGTCATGCAGCGTAGAGAACCAATTCCAATTTAAAGTGTTGAAAATTCTATTGAAGATATGATACGAAAGCAGATACAGCTCGAAGCTGTAGAAGAAGCAGACAAGGCGTTGCAAAGGCGATACAGAGAGAGAAAAAAATTAATTATTTACACATCGATAAGCAGCAGCAGCGCTGTCAACCACAAGAAGCAACAACAACAACGACAACAACAACAAGGGCAACACGTTGTTGGGCATTGTATCTGCATCTACAGGTCGCAGCAGTAACAGATACATTTTTATCACAATCACACATGCCATATATCTCGTATTTAATGTCTTTATAAAAGGTGTGTAGCTGTGAGATACATTTTCAAGCAGCTATAGAAACCAGCACAGGCAACTTGTGGCAGGCAACGGGCAACAGCCACAGACAATAAACAAACAACAAGCGATCGGACCAGGACATGCAACAGCAGCCATTACGAAATGCCATTTCATTATGGCAGGGTCCAAAGCGACCAAAGCCAACCCGAAACGGCTGAGTCATCTGGCCAACAAGTTGCCGCTACAGCAGCAGCAGCAGCAAAGGGGTTAACCAAAAGGTGGAGCAGGCGTTGGGCATTTACGCCTGGCAACAAGTTGGTCGTCTTTTTTGCTCTAGCCGGCTCCACTAGTTCTCGGCATGCAAATTGCACTAGATGTGCGTGAGCGTGTGTGAGTGTATGGTGTGTGTGTGCGTGTGTGAGTCGACAGCCCAGCGACACACTTTAACTCTGGAGAGCGCGACGTCCGCACAGACGCACTTGGTCAATCGCACTTGAGCAGGCACGAAGGCAACAAAGTCTAGGCAACATGGCTCGAAACATAAATGCTCTTCAAAATGATGACTAAGGTATCAAAAACAGTTTAATTCTGGGCTTAACATGCCTATAAGATCTCCAGATCTTAGTAAGATCATCAAAGTACGGGCAGCTTAAATACATATATTCTTGAAGACCAACAGCTCATAGGACTTGCAGATATGCCTTTAGAATTGTAGATTTCGTATTTGCTAACTTCGGTCAAGATATTGAGAAAAACTGAACATTTTCCTAAACAATAGAACTATATGATATAATGCTAAGGTGTTGATAAGACCTTGCCTATACGTAAGAAGCCTAGTAAAACTGATTAATGCCGATATTTGCCCTGATAAGTTGAAAACCCGAAAAGTTGTTTATTTTCATAATTTTCGGATAGCATCCAGGATAACATCCAATCCTGCCGCTTCAGACATATATACTGTTGGAATCAGCAAGACGAAAGGTTTCATGACATAGGGCTTAGAGCTGAGAGACTAGCTTGCATTGAAACAGCGACAAGTCACACTTGGCTGTTGATACCGATCAAAAATATATATAAATTAATAGCCAGAAATGTCTACTTATATACATTTCATAACAAAACTCTAATGTACTCTACAAGGATATGTCGACTAAGAAGAATTTTGATATTTTTCTAGTTTCCTCGAAGGCAACTAGTCTCAAAAAAATGTAGATGGGTAATAAATGCACACAAATTAGATCAAATTGAATCTAAACCATTTAATTAGATTTATGCTCTAAAATATTTATAATATTAGTATACGCCATGCTTGCAAAATATTACCATAATATTTAAAGAGCACTGAAGAGTCCTTTTAACTGAGACAGCACAGCATATCTAATAGCCTTGGATTCGAGCCCAGATTTATATTTTTCAGTTGTCAAATTGATCTTAATGACTTAAATAAGTAATCTATCAAGAACTGCCTTGGTAGTGCGATTTTATACTGGACATTGAATACAATATTCATTGCCATAAAAAGAACAATTTTTTGAGTGATTGTTCACGTTTTTGAATGAATGAAAATTATGATTTACTCGTGACTTGAGAAATAAACAACATAGAAATCGAATCTAATGAATCTGAATAAAGTCAGGGTCTGGTTGCAGATGATAAAGATAGATTAAGTCCAGTTAAATTTTATGAGTTGCTTAAGCTGTGCTAATCGTGCCGCAAAGGGTATTCAATGGCTTAACAAACCCTGTCCGTTTTTTTCGGCTAACGTTGCGTTCAGATAATGTGCTTTAGCTGCGGCCAGAACCAAAACCAGGCCCTGATCCAAGCCAGAACCGATAGAGTTGTACGCAGCGCTGCGGCAGTGGGCGCAGTCGCAGCAGCAGGTTTCTTATGAAGCAATAAATTTTGAATCGGCTGTCGCTGACAATGTGGAGCGAGGCAAGATAACTTTCGATCCAGATATATGTATATGCATATGAATGTATGTATGTATGTTGTCATGGTCTGGGGTTAAGCAAGTAAGTAAATCAACGTTGAATGCCATTTGCCTGCTCTAATGCCGGGCTAAATAAATAAGCGATGCAAGCGCTCTACCTGGAGGTGGTGGCCGATACTGCGCCCAGGTAACCAGGCCGTGCAAATGCAATCTGAGCGTAATTTCCAAGACATGAGCCGGAACCAGTCGGCGATTGCGATCAAGCAACTGGTTCCCAGAGAGACGAGAGTGAGAGAGCGATGAGAGAGCACCAGAGCCAGAGAGTGCGAGAGAGGGGGTGTATCTGAGCTCTAGAGAGACAGCGCGTATCTGTGTGTGTAGCTGCTGCTGCTGCTGCTCGAACCTGGCAGCGTTTCGGCTCAGATTCAGTAGGTTTTGGAACGCCGCTGAGCGCAGCTGCACATATTTAGAAAACGGTAATCACAGCCAAACATCAAGCTGCAGTTTTACATTACACACAAAAAAAACATACACACACACGCACATACACAGTTGTAGATACAGATACATATGCAATTACAAATGCAGCCAACACAGCTGAGGCGATTGTGTGTGTGTGTGTGCGTGTGAGCGAATAGCCCAAACACAATTTGCAACAAAGTGTAAAAACTCGAAACAACAATAAATATTAACAATAATAAAGGCCAAGAACTTAATGGGCCGCAACGCGTTTAAAACAAGTTTCTTGAATGTGTCAAAAGTGGCCATAAATTTGTACGCGAAATGCCAAATTGGCAGCAGCAAAGGAATCACTTTCAAGAATAGCGGCCCAAAAAGCTGCAACCAGGCTAAGCTAATCTTGGTAGCGCAAAAAAACTACAAAAATGAAGAAAAAAACGGCAGCAAAGCGCAACAGTGGCAATACACTAACCGACCCGACCCGAGCCGAACTTGGAAGCCTCTCGCTCTCGCACAGAAAAAAAAGAAAATACCTAAAAACCAGTTTTTTGAAAAATTTATCGAAAAAAAAATGAAAAAAGCAGCCGCAGCAGCAGCAGCAGTAAAAGAATTGAAGTTGAAATGAAGTGCCTGGCTCTCTCTCTCTCTCTCCCTCTGTGTATGGTGTGTGTGTGTGCAGGGCATGAAGCATTATGTGTAACTTTCAATGCTCAGTGCTGAAGGCAGAAGCTGCTGCATTTTGAAAAAAAAGGAGTAGCTGCCGCGGCCGCTGCGCAGATGCAGATACATTTTGACTTTAATTGCAGCGTGTGTGCGACAGAGACGACTCTATGTGTGTGCGTATGTGTGTGTTTGTGTGTGTATTGGAGATTTATGCGATATGCGCTGCTGAAATGAAAGACACACAGCTCGAATTTAAAACAACAGCAACAAACACGACAAAATTTGCATATAAACAAAAGCGCCAAAGAATTTTGTAGCTAAGAAACTCAAAAAAAAAAAAATGGGAAAGAAATGAAAAAAAAAAGAAAACAAAAGCCAAACAGAACCTGATCTCGATCTTATATGATCGAATTCAAGTCGTTAGCTCATAAGTATGTATATAGCTGAGGACTATACAAAAGTTTTGACTTTCAAGTGTGTGCACAGAGAGATTTGTATATATATATACATATATATATATATATAGAGAGACATATAAACAGACTTGCCCCAAAGTGAAATTTATGCGTGGGTTGACAAAAGCTTTAACCAGAGCCACAATTTACCGGTTCTGCTGGTGGCCCAAGACTCGCTTTGAGGCCATTCAACTTGTGTGTGTGTGTGTGTGCACAAAAGACAAAGATTAGATTAGATTGTGCCACAAAATAAATAAATAGTTAAGGAAACGAAAAAAAAAAAAACAGATCTATCTATGCCTGACTTTCGGGCCTCAGACGCAAAGAGAGAGCGAACACTTACCTAATTGTAAGTGCGGCTTGTAGTATGCCGATAAGAGGCAGCCAGCGGAAATGTGTGCTGTAGTCGTGCATCATCATTTCAAATATGTCACGTTGTGTGTTGTGCCAGATAACGCAGAACTTAGACGCGCACACACACACACACAGATATACACACACATACACCATATAACACACAGTTACACCATATAAATTTCCACATTACAGCCTGTTGACAGCGTCTAATTGCATAATAGGCAACTATAAACATAAATGTTTTCTCTTATTTACAGCTTAGTTAGGAACAACAACAACAACATCAATTAGCAATAACAATCCGAAGTAGAAGAAGAAGAAGCAGCTAGAATCATGGCAGTCTTTGGCATGGTCTCGGCTGTGTCCAGCTTCATCAAGATACGCTATCTGCTGGACAAGGCGGTCATCGATAATATGGTCTTTCGCTGTCATTATAGGATTACCACAGCCATACTTTTCACCTGTTGCATTATTGTTACGGCCAACAATTTGATTGGTAAGTGATTTTGTTTTGTTATTTTCTTAAGCACGACGCGATTCGATACCTGTGAAAATTAGTGCAGTCTATGCAAATGTGTTAGCCATGCATTTGGCCATATTTGTGCATACAATTACACCAAAAGCGCTAAAGCAGCGGAAAGGGTTAACAAGAGAACTAAAAAGACTGAGTGCGGCAATACACGACGGCGCCATACTTTGTACCCAATATTAAAGACACTGAGGACAGAAGAATATATAGAAGATAGTTCAGATCTTAACACTGAGAATGATATGTACCCAGTGTGAAAACAGCTGAAAACAGAAGGAAAGACAGCTGCTAGTTAATATTTTACGATCTTACCAACTACGATCCGTACCCACTGTAAAAGCAGCTAAACAGAGCAGAGTATAAAGCAGGTAGTTCATATCCTAACACTGAGAGATATTCTGTACCTAGTGTAAAAACAGCTGAAAATTGAAGTAAAAATATTGTGCTTGGTATTTCATGACTACACAATATTCTGTTCTCAGTTAGGAAATATTATGAAATAATTTTTTTTATGGCATTCATGATTCTGAAACTCAAACTTAAAAACAGTGGTAGATAGAGGTGTTTGCCCTAAGATCGGGCTTGGAGAAGGCAGCATATTTAGCTTGACTCTGGAAAATGTTCGTAGAAAATCATAGCTCAAAAACTTTAAAAACTGTGTGCCAACAAAACCTTAACACAAACTATTGCATATTAAAACAAGACTCAAACGTCATTGCCTAATATACCCAATATACCCTGCTTGCCTTTTGTAAGTAGAGTAGAAAGCACCTTAGTGCTTATTGAATTTTGAAACTCATTTGCGCTTGCCCAATACTCAATGGTCCGCAAATGCCTGTGGCACGTACATCAGATTTCAGACGAACACTCAAATGACTCGAATGAGTCAAATGAGTACAATGTGAGTCACAGCGGGTGGTTGCGTGTCGTGGCTGTGTGAAGATCCATGTAGCGGTCCGAAATAAATGAAACAAGCCAGACAACAAGCTTTTTCGTGTGGCCAGCCACAACAGCACGTCTGAGCCCGTTTGCGGAGTTGATTTATGGCCAAAAGACGCAGCCAGAGCCAATGTTTGTGCATTTAAAAGAAGCGCTCCAAACGTATATGGTGCCAATATAAATATTGACAATTGAGTTCTAGGAAACTTCATAGAAACCAAAAAGCACTGCGCACCGGGCCCCCCCCCCCCCCCCCCCCCCCCCTTCATTACATTAGCTAGTTGTTTACGCAAGAGCAAAAGAGAGAGAGAGAGAGAGAGAGAGAGAGAGAGAGAGAGAGAGAGAGTGAAAGGGGGGGGGGGAAGGAAAGCACGCGCATGGTTCTAGCTGGTCCGGCACACCCATCATCAGGTTGTCAGCGCTCATAGAGAACATTCCTATGACCAGGGTTACAGATTTAGATTGGCTTAATGCCACTTGACGTTGATGAACGACATTTGACTGCACTCAAATGAAATGGAATGAGGAATACAAGTGCATTTGATTTATATGTACACAGAGGGAGGTCACCGGTTCAAATCCCCGATTTGCATAGCACAAACAACTAATTCATATTATTATTATATAACACATGACTAGTGTGGGACTTGAACCTGGAAAGTTCTTTTCCAGCTGCCTACTTATATATCATTAATATGCACTTGCAGGTGATCCGATTAGCTGCATCAACGATGGCTCGATACCCATGCATGTGATCAACACATTCTGCTGGATAACATATACCTTCACGATACCCGGTCAGCAGCATAGGCAAATTGGCACCGATGTCGCCGGCCACGGTCTGGGCAATGAGTATGGCCAGGAGAAGCGCTATCATAGCTACTATCAGTGGGTGCCCTTTGTGCTGTTCTTTCAGGTAACTCTGCGTGTCCTAAGACCTTCATTGTATGTTGACTAAATGCGTTCTATATTTTAGGGTCTTATGTTTTATGTGCCCCATTGGATTTGGAAGAATATGGAGGATGGTAAAATACGCATGATAACTGATGGCTTGCGCGGCATGATCTCAGTGCCGGAGGACTATCGAAAGGATCGACAGGATCGCATCATTAAATACTTTATGGAAAGTCTCAACACGCACAATGGCTACTCGTTTGCGTATTTCTTCTGCGAGGTGCTGAACTTTGTCAATGTGATCGTCAATATCTTTATGGTGGATAAGTTTCTGGGCGGTGCTTTTATGTCCTATGGTACGGATGTCGTCAAGTTCTCCAATATGGATCAGAATATGCGTTTCGATCCCATGATTGAGATCTTTCCAAGGCTGACCAAGTGTACATTCCGTAAGTTTGGTCCAAGTGGTTCCCTACAGAAACACGATACACTCTGTGTGCTAGCTCTGAATATACTCAATGAGAAGATCTATATATTCCTGTGGTAAGATCAGTCACAAAACCAAATCAAGAATGTTTTTTAATAGAGTTCTTAATGAAACAGGTTCTGGTTCATTATATTGGCCACAATTTCGGGCGTGGCTGTGCTCTATTCCCTGGTGGTTATCATGATGCCCACCACACGCGAGACGATCATCAAGCGCTCCTATCGCTCAGGTCAGCGCAAGGAAATTGCCGGACTAGTGCGGAGTTTGGAGGTGCGTTGCGACTATAAACTGCGTGCTATAGATATGTTAAATCCCTTTGTTGTTTTTTGCTGCAGATTGGCGACTTCTTGATCCTGCACTTCCTTAGCCAGAATCTGAGCACACGATCATATGGCGATATGCTGCAACAGTTATGCAGCCTGATGGCCGCCTCACGCACACCCTCTGCCCCCTCGACGCTGGAAATGAATCCCATTAGCCATTCAATTTATCCGCCCGCCGAGCTGTTCGGCGGCAAGGAGACCGAGACATAGGCGCTATAGCAACTATTTGGCGCTAATATAAAATTTCAATGATTTCTCAATAATATTTTGTAGCCAGAGATGTGACCAATTCGAAGGTGTTTTTTTCGTAGTAGGTGTTCTAGGCGTTTAGGCTTTCTAATATAATATATATAACATATGTATGTACATCTCTAAGACTGTTTTTAAGTGGAAACATGGAATTTGAGGAAACGTCAGATAAAAAAACAAAACGAAACAAATATAAAAACAAAAAGAATTCTTTAGCAAAATTTTTACGCCTATATAAAACAAAAGCCCTTAGACACACACTTAGAGAGAGAGAGAGAGAGAGAGAGAGAGTATGAGAAAGTGCAAGTTAAATGAGAGAAAGAGAGAGATAGAGAGAGACACTCAAACACACGCACACACACACACACACACACACACACACACACACACAGGCAGACCGTGCAATTTGTAGGTTGGATTTGTGAAACGATAATGAATATGAATTATCCGATATATGCTTATACTACTACCCAATACAAAATTGTATCCGTAGTAAAGTTAACAATGATGCGCCATTTAAATATATACAATTTAGTTTACCGCTTAGCTCTATAGTTTTTTGCTCTTTGATCAAGCCAAGATCGCAGCTCACGAAACGTTGATCTACATATATATATATATATATATATATGATCTATATATGTACACAGATGAGACATACTTGCAACTAAATTGTAGTAATCGAATTATACAACAACAAGAACAACAACAACAAAAAATATGAAAACAAAAGCAAAATGCTCTCGCTATTTTTGTCTTAACGTTTAGTATACACACACACACACACACACACATATGTATGTAATTTTAAGCAATTTTGTTTATAACAAAATTATTGTGATTATTGCTAGAAAAGAACACATTTTACATAAAAAGAAAACAAACTATCTAAGTTTTAAATTGTAATAAATATGTAATACGAGTCTATTCAATTTCAGTCTAATTTTTGATACGTTTTCAGTTTGAAAAGCTTAAGACTAACATATTTTCGAAAAGAGGGGTTCCCATCTATCTCATACCAGAGAGACTGAGAATACTTTTTAATCTGTGGGCGTGCTTAGAATTCTTGGAATTTAACAATCCATTGGCTAACTTGTTTCTTTAATTTAACTCAGGAATAGCTAGGAGTATGTTTTATTATTTTTTTTTTTTTTTGATATAGGAAACTTTATAATCTGTGGGCTTGCCTCTAGGAATTTGTTCTATCGAAGGCGATTATCTGATGATTTTCATAACATTTAACATCTGGGTATGCAATTAAAAGAAGACATCTACCTATGAAGATCTTGCAATTTATTTCATTAAGACGATCTTGTTTAATTTAAAATTATCTGCACAAATATGTCTGTTACGATCGATATTTTGGAGAAAAAACTCATTTCGATATATGTATTTATAAATAATTCTTTGTTTATCAATGACTTATCAGAATTGGGCAACATAAGGAAAAGGCATTACCCAGTATCATAGAGCCCCTCTTAAAATATGCCCTTTAAATGTACTATTTTAGGATATACATATAGATTAAATACAAATTTTAAGAAGCATGACGTAAGTGAAATTTGCCTTGACTCAGCTTAACTAAAATATTGCATAATTATGTATATATATATATATATATATATATATATATATATATATATATATATATATACAATCACGAGTATCTAAGTATTGCTTGACTTTTTAAAACAATGAGAAATATGTATGTGTTTGGCATATTTATATAAGTTTACGGAACCAGTTGAGTTTGTGTTACTAAGCGGGAACTGGAAATGTTGATCTTGAAACCCCGGATTGAACCTAAAATTTGATAGCAGCTGAAATCTCAGAGTTCCTCGTTACTCTATAGGCCTAGTACAGAGGTCGTTTGCATATTATAGCCGAGACTAAGGTTATTTCACTGTCGAAAAAATGCTAATTTCTGGTAGAACTTATTTCCAATGGAATTTTGAGATTTTTGAATTAAATGCATACAAATTTGTTTAAATTATATTTTGGCGATACTATAATGTTAGTCATATCTTTGAATAATGTTAGCTCTCTGACTTACCGATTGCCCCAATCAATTTTGGAGACCACAACCATTTGCAGCTCAGTCGTTTGATCCTGTGTCATGGTCGCGCCTAGAAGCTCGCGACGACTCTCCAAAATGGAGTACATTACTTTGCGCAGCGTCTGAAACTTGTACGCCTCGCGATCCTGTCCGGGGAAGTGCCATTTAAATAATGATCCAACATTTATCCACAGACACTTACCACATAGAGGCGCTTCCAGATCTCTGACCATTCGCGCAGCACTTGGGTGCACTCGGCAACGACAGGATCGATTTTCGACAGATCCTTGATGTGTATGTAGGTCTTGGGAAAGATGCCAACGGCACGTGATCTGCGCGGACAGGAGCCGCGAAACCAGTGCCTGCACTCCTCGACAATATCCACAGAGTCGCCCACATCCAGGGGCAGGCCGAAGCGCACGTCGCCATGCCAGTTGTGTATGGCTGGAAAAAAACAAATGGAGAATGAGCTGGAATAAATCTTAGATGCGATGGTAACAACCAGTTGCGCCAGTTGGCCATGACATTGCCAGAGATGGGGCGGAAGACGCCAGGCAACAGTCAGGCGATTGCAGGCAATTAAAGTGCCTCCATGAGTGGCTACTTGAGCATGCCACGAGTGGCACAACAACAATAAATACTTCAACTATAAATAGGCAAATGGCTTTGGAAACAAAATACTCATGCATATAGGGGGTGTATGTCTCTCAAAGAGCTGCCAGCCAGCCAGCCAGCCAGCCAGGAGCAGCAGCAGCAGCAACAATAACACAACAACAACAAATGCCACAAGCAGCACTTGGCACTTGGGCACGCCAGCAATTGAACACTTTGCTTGCAACCAATGAACAATAAAGAGCGAACGTTTCAGCTGAAGCCAAAGCTGGAGCCGGAGCTGAAGCTTCGGCCAGGGAAGCTGCTGATAAGTAGACATATAAATCCGCAACGTGGCCGCCATGCCAGCCAATTACAAATGCGAGACACGCACTGGAGTCCGGTCGGCGCCGCAAGAGCATGTTGCTCTCCGCTACCAGGGAAGCGGGTTGTAGGTGTGTGTATATGTATATGTGTGCTAGTGTGCGTGTGTGTGTTTGCGCGCGCTGAAAGACAAACGAGCGAGCACGGCCTTAGCATATCAACGAAAGGAGCTAATAAAACGCACAACCAGGCATAAGACAGAGCGTAGAGAGCGGGCAGTGTAGAATAGTCATGGAGGGAGGGGGGGGGGGGGGGGGGCATACTTGAATGTATGTAAGTGCTATATGGCTGTCTGCCTGTCTGTCTGTCTGACTGTCTGTCAAATGAAATGCTTCAATGCGATGAAAATGGGCAAACTGCTTCCTGCTGCTGTTGCTGCGGTTATACCACGTACCCTTTAAAATGTGAGTGAAAGCGGGTATAATAAAATACAATTGCAAAATCAACGAAACTTCCGTTCTTATAAAGATAGTTTGAGCAGAACGTCGAGCTTAATCAAACTGTTGATCCATGTGTCTGTCGGTTTTTGAGGTCCTTAAGCTTTGATTTAATCCGATTGAATTCTTGTTAATTTTTAATGATATAATGAGCTGAAAAATTCTCTTCATTTGTGGTATATGTTTCCGCACTTAACAATTAAATGATGTAAAAATGGTGAAGTAATAAAAAAACTTTCTATAAGCTCAAGAATTTGGGTATACTGAAATCGTAATGAAATCTATTTTTGTCGAGTTTTGTAAACATGGCTGAAAATGTTCGATTTTGCTTGTGAAACGCGTTTTGTCTGTTTGTGATTCAATACGAGTATGTGTTAGGACACAGGGTATTTTTTGATCGAGCAACATTAGATTGTAGCTTATGTTGTGGCTGTTGCTGCTTTGCATTATGATTGCCGCGTCTTCGTCTGCGTCTTCCTGCTTCAGCATTTTCGTGGCTGCCGCGTTACTTTTGCAACTGGCTGGAGCCGCCTGTGGCTGGAGTCGCCGCCGGATTTAAATGGATTTCAAGCTGCTAAATAGCTAAAATTTTATAATTTAAATGGATGCGGCAGCGAGGGAGGGACGCTTGGATTTAAGCTTGGGCTTGCGGCACTTCAACTTGCGCAAGCAAACACTCAAGCAAATGAGCACACACACCACACACATAATGCAGACACACACACTACACATACACACACACACACACACTCTTAGACATACGCTGTGGCAGTTACAGGCAGGCACAGTGCCAACCGTCGCACTATTTAGGTCAGTCACATTAGACAGGCGTCGGACTGGCCCCGCCCCGCCCTACGACGACTTCATTTGTACATATATATACATACACACACACACACATACACTTTATATATAACAACCCATCCACCCACCCACAAGCATCCGGCTTTAGAGCCGTGCATAATTCTAATGAGCATTTTTTAGCCGGCGCTTAGACATCAACGCGCATTTAATGAAAATGCGGAAAAAATTTTAACATTTCATAGCCTGAAATAGTTGAGAATGGCGCCAACGCATGTAAGACTGGAAAGGGGAGTAGAGGGTAGGGCAGATAATTACCGTTGCCCTTTAATTGCGCTTTTGATAAAGTACTTCAGGTCCACAACAAATGGGATTTGCCAGAGTTTCACTTTGTTCACCAACAACAAAGCACACAAGATAAAGAGAAGAGATGGGGAGAGCAAAGAGCAAAGAGAGAGGGATAGAACGAGCAAGACAGTCCAACAAGTCCGCAATGTCAACAAAACGTATTTAAATAAAAAAGTCGTTAAGCCAAGTGGACGCAAAAACAAAAATGAAGAAAACGCAAGAAGAGCCAACGGCAGCGGCAGTTGGAAAATAATTTTATATTAAATAAAAGAGCTGGCTGCATTAGCGCAATGAGTGCCTCATGCATGCACATGCGCTCAAAGCATGGAAAACCATGAAGAAAAAGCCAAACTTCGTGGAAATCGGATGAGATTTGACCGAGTTATGGGGGTGGTAATTTTTGACCCATGTCTATATGGGAATCTTGGGGTAAGATTTGGACATGAATTTCGACTAAAAAATCGGTGTCGAGATTTGAATGCCAGATTAATCTAGAGGGA